CTAGCCATTTTACAAAAAGTCCGACGCTCATAAACTGTAAACAAGTTCCATATTATACAGCAAATAGCATATTGTCCCTGCTATCTTCGATGTAAAATATAAGGGATTTTTAGACCCGTGGGTGGCCCATATTCCCTTGCTTATTATGAAGATTTAGCTTACGATTAGTACGCCTACAGATCTTTGTCTGAAAATCTTTCAATTCAATATTTTAGTTCAACAAACGTCTCTATTCAATCAAATACTCATTCGCTTATAAAGAGAGGTTATACTGCATATTACTAGGTAGTAGGATTTTTTGTGTGACTAGGAGTCCGTATATATCCGTATACGTACCAATATCTTAACTACTCCCGTCGCCAAATAGCAGTGCTCAATGGTCTGTCGAAGAAAGAAAATAAGCTTAAGGCTCATCTTTCCAATATTGACAAAGCATTTGTATACTACATATTACTAGGTGGTAGAACATCTTATTTGACTAGGAGTCCGTATATATCCGTATACGTACCAATATCTTAACTATTTTTGTCGCCAAATAGCAGTGTTTTCATATTGTGGTCTGGTCTGAAGGGTAAAGAGAGCCAGGATAATTACAGGCTGTAAGACGTTGAATTTTAGTTCCCAAGGTTTACAAAGCATTTGTATACTACATATTACTAGGTGGTAGGACTTCTTAATTGTCTAAGAGTCCGACATACGACTTCTTAATTGCCTAAAGCCAACGTAGGACTTTTAGTTATCTAAGAGTCCGTAACATAGGACTTCTTAGTTGCCTAAGAGTCCGTAACGTAGGACTTTTTAGTTATCTAAGAGTCCGTAACATAGGACTTCTTAGTCACCTAAGAGTCCGTAACATAAGACTTCTTAGTTGCCTAAGACTCCGTAACATAAGACTTCTTAGTCGCCTAAGAGCCCGTAACATAAGACTTCTTAGTTTCCTAGGAGTCCGTAACATAAGACTTCTTAGTTGCCTAAGAGTCCGTAACATAAGACTTCTTAGTTAACTAAGAGTCCGTAACATAAGAATTCTTAGTTGCCTAAGAGTCCGTAACATAGGACTTCTTAGTTGCCTAAGAGTCCGTAACATAGGACTTCTTAGTTGCCTAGATATCCGTATACGTACCAATATCTTAAACTATTTCTGTCGCCAAATAGCAGTGTTTTCATATTGTGGTCTGGTATGAAGTGTAAAGAGAGCCAGGATAGATACAGGCTGTGAGGCGTTCCATCTTAGTTCTCAAGGTTGACAAAGCATTTGTAGCCTCCTTTGAATAAAGTTGACTGCAAGTTTCCATGGACTGTCGTATTACTCCTTGAGGAAGCCCAATAACAGCACTAACAAATTAAAAGGTGAAGATGATTCAGATGACTTTTCCTCTTGGAATTCTCCATACAAAACTCATAATTATTTGTGTTCAACTAAACAAGACTCACGCACATTTTACATTGTTTCGTATAGTTAAAAAATCAGGTCACAGTCAGTGCGTGGATGGTAATAATCATTTATTCGTTACAAGGCGATTTATAATTAATTGTTCCAGTAATACAGTATCATTAATTTTGTACATGGCATATACCCGGTTATTAATTTGAAATATGCATACATTCAACTGTTAACACGCCGCAAAACGACTAATGCAACTATTTATTCCAATTTTATTGTGGAGATTAGACGAAATAATTATCAATGAAGGATTGAGAAAAAGAATCGTATTGTCCGAGCGTGTCGTTAAGAATGATTATAAGAAATGTTATACAAAATCATGTTCCCCACCAGATGGCGTTATAGCCATCAAATCAGTTAGAATATACCTTCTAGAAAGTAATCTAGAAGGTATCACTATCTGCGTTATTATTAAAAACTTGACAACCTCGTTTGTCTAAGTGAGACTGCTGATCATGTACCGCACCCGGATTCTTATCCCGGAACGGGCAAAAATCTGTTATTTGGTTATTAAGTCATGAAATTCTCAATAGCAGCCCGGGATAAGGAAGTTACCGGTATTACACCCCCGTGCCTCGAAAATCACATTAAAGCTGAACGCACATTTGTCAACACCGTACACGCCGTACGCGCCGCATTTTAGAATTCGTTGTATGAAATCATATGAAACGCACATTACAGCCGCATCGTAAGCGCCGCATTTTATAAATGCGGTAGGTATCCGAATATTGTAATACGCATGCTGATGACGTCATATAATGCGACGCGTTCGGCGCGTGCTGATACTCGTGTTGCCTAATGTTGGCAACATTGATGCCAATTTAGTGGATTTTTCACTAAAACCGGTGGTTTTGACTTACGTTTCGAAATATATTTTTACTTTATTTCAGGAACATTTTCCTTTACTTTTTATAACTTTTAAATAATACGTACCTAATTAATTATACATAATTTGAAAAAAAAATTGCATCGATTATCAATATGAATACTTAGCGGCAAAATAATTTAAATACAATAAAAACTTGATTATTAATTTTAGTTCAAAACCCAATTATCCCTGATTACTTAATTATCAATAAAAATACTTACCTCATACATACAACAAGTCTTCCCTCTGGTTCAATAGGACTTCTAAATCCTGAGTTTTCCGTGGTTTTAGAATATGTAGCAAATTTTGAAATTTTTGAGTTTGATATTTCGAGGGCTATTTTCCGTATTATAATAAAAAGTGGTTTATAAATGGTATCGAGCTTAATCTATGGTTTAAGATGAGTCCTTCCAACGAGGGAAGTCCCTCGGCCGCAGCGCCACAGTATCCGCGAAATTGGACATTTGCTGTCATACTTCATAGTTTATACTTTCGACTTCTATCGTGAAACAGATTCTAGCTTAGATCTGAGTGGATCTGAAAATAATTATAGACTGTTTTTGTAATAAACCCCTTTAGCTTAAAGTCCATTTCATATAGTTGCTCTGTAAATCAACTACTGCATCTTAATACTATATGAATCTTAAATAAGTATCCTACATTAATATAGTCACTAGATATTTTAATTAAGACAGTTGGCAAGGTTTCTACTATTGTCTATAAAACCGTAAATAGAATGATTGAAACCAAATAAGCCGTGTAATGTTTCTAAATAGATTCGCAATAATAGAATTCCAAATTACTCCAGTCAATATTGCTTAATGACCGGATTTCGACGATTTATCTCAACCAGATTTATTACTGCTCACTATCATATTCCATTAAACTTCTTTGCATATGGTTGTATCCAAATTTGTACTTTACAGATACGAGTATATAAATAAAATTAGATATATCCATCCTAGCATGTGACCCTGCAAAGTGACAAGGTCAAAGATGCCTACTAAATTGATTGTTTTATTGCGGTTCGTAAAGTAGGGTGGATACGATTTGAATTTAGATAGATTCTAATTAATTTATTTATTTAATTCAAAATTTTTGTTTAAATTTTTTGTAAAATATCAGTGTCATAGACTTCTACTCCGTTCACATGTTACACCCTACTTTTTTCCAGACGGTAAAAAAGGTCATCCAGTATATAAAATCGATGAGTTGGTGCGTGTGTTAATAGTATTATCCGTCTTTTTCAGGAAGTCTGAAGAAATATAAAAAGAGATATGAGAGGGTTTTGCCACTTACCATCAGGTTGACTGTTAGTGTGGTATTCATAAAGTCATGAATTATCCACGCCTTAAAGAGTACTTAAAATTGCAACTAATAATTTTTTGTCTTTGAAACCGAGCTTGGGTTGATAAGAAAAAAAATTATAAGAATATAGTCGAGAAGCCTTACAGTAGGTAAGGCTTTTGTAAGTTTAACCTTTTTAATTAAAGTAAGAGGGACAAGCGAGCACACAGTTCGCCAAGTGGATGCTTTGGTCTATAGGCAGCTACATCTATTCCCGATTAAGAAGAAAAATGCAGATGCCTTGTCACCCCTGAGGACTACGGTGAAGTATGTCGTTATCAGTAAAAAAGTTATCAGAAACTCAGCATTAAACTGTTATTTCACATTGGTAATCTGTGGGTGCGTGATCCTTTCCTGACCGAACCGACTTATCCGAGCTGCAGTCATAACATGGCAGTAGCGTGCCTCTAACACGTTAAAAATTCCCGCCAAAACCACAAACTTTACGTATGAATGCCTGGTACATATATCTGAGTTCTCCGGTGATGGTGAGCAGCGTGTAAGATGCAAAACATCTGATACTACGATCAAACCTAACAACCCATAGGTACCTATGATAAAGCCTTCTTTCTATTTACTTCTTATCTTTAATAATTTTCGTTTAATAATCCGTCTATGCGAGCGTGGTGCTTTCCCGGTCGAGCCAACCCATTCGCACTGCAGCCACAATAGTTTGCTGAGTCATATGATGGTGATGGATAAATATCTGAATTTTACCCGACTCGGGTTTCGAACCCAGGATCTTATGATGACGGGGCGGTCGATTCCAAACAATAACAACAATGAAAAGACGCAACCGTATTCAATGTCAAGACTGCACGTATTTTAAAAATAAACTGAAGCTACTTGAAGTCCTTCGAAACTATACAATACATTTATAAAAAGAAGATTAAAAGAACCTGTTTCAATAGCTACGCACTTGCGATATTATTATTGGATGGCGCTTCCTGTAAATATCATTTTTTATAAAATTATAATAAAAACTAATAAACGAGGATATTTTAATTTTGAAAAATATATTTTATTAGTACGGAAAATAATACGAAGACAGACCTTGCTCTCAAAAAATACCAGCGTAAAATAGCAGCTTAATGCTGCTGTATTCCGTATGGTGAGTGTAAAGAAACCGAGACCCTTTTTACTAGAAACGAGGCATTCCATCTTTGTCCTCATGGGTGATTAACCACTGCATTTTGATTCTTAATCGAGTATAGATGTATATAGACCAAAGCATTTACTTACCATCAGGTGGGCAGTGTGCTCATGAAATAAATTTGAATGGATAAATGACTTTTTAATTTAAGTGACATTATTTGTTTATAGTTATATCTTTTGTTACAGTTCTATTGGATCGTCAGACAAGAAGACATCTCAGTAACGACTGTTTATAAGGTAAATATTGAATATCATCACCATCATCATCACTACAGTCTATCAAAGTCGACTCCTGAACATATTATGGATATTTGCCATCGTTGCCACACTTAACAGGTTTTTTTATAAGTTTAAGTTGTTATTAGAAAAATTCTTCTGCCCATCTCCCGCTTCCGTTTCCCTTTATTGCTTCACACGACACCCAGGGGTGGACCCATGGGATAACGGATTCTCTTATTCCGTTCTGCAATTAAATAATTATTATATATTATTATTATAATATATATCATAAATATTTATTACTGATTTATTTATTTGTATAACTGTATTATAATATTATTTACAAATCGTATTCCTTTATAGAATAAGGGTGACAAATAATACAAAAATACTCACTATTGCGGCATAAATATACATTTAATAAGTATTGTAAAATATATATTTAATAAGAAATCATTATTAAATATATATTTTACGATGATTTCATATCAGGTAAAACATGTATTGATTAATGATTTCTAATAGAGAATTCCCGTTTCACGTTTCGAATGCTTTGCAGTACACGGGAATTAAACAAGTAAAATTAAACGATTAAAACGCAGAAGTAGTTCAATTAGACGTTATATAAGAAATTATTAAAAAGTAAAAAAGTATTATTTAAATCGGACAAAAGAAATTGACAACCTCCTCCTTTTTGACGTAGGTTAAAATTATTAAAAATTTTATATAATATAACAAAGCCTTTTACATATTGAACGCAACGAACGAAGTCTTAAAAGTTCGCCATGCAACTTTTACTTAGCCGAGCCTTCGCTGCAAGGTCATTTATTATAAATATACACTCACATAAATAAATATTGACAAACGTACAAATGAATTATTTTGGCGTGTTTCTCGACGACTGGAATAAAATGATATTCTAGTAACAAGCCCAATCACAGTGTCTATAAACTGAAAACGGCAACCTCTTTTAAGTACTTTAAAAATAATTTATTTTTAGAGTATACTACAAAGAACAAAAAGTCTTTGGTATAGAAATAACTTTACTACACAAAACTTGACCATAAAAAGGTAATTTAATCTAAATAAATTTTTATTTGTAAATTATATGTAGTTTTATTATCTCTAACTGACGCGCGCATCGGTAAAGTAAATAATCACTACGTTTACGCGGAGTCATTGACAATACGCTTATTCCCCGGTCAGTGCAGATGTAATAAAACCACATACTCATGCAATTTGCAAATAAAAATTTATTTTAATTTATTTTTTATAGTCGAGCTTTCTGAAGTTATTTTTATAAGTTTTAATAATGATTCTAATAATGGACTTAAAGGAACCACAGGTTTTTTTTGACAAGTTGTATATTATAATTATATAACAGTGTATCTACTATAAGGACAAGGGGTAAAATTAAAAATTTTATACAATCGATTTCATTATAAATAAAATGAGAACGTCATCAATGTAGTCGAAGTCAATTAAATGCGCATCATTAAGGATAACTCTCAAACTAGTATAGGCCCACGTGAGTAGCACCAGCTTTTAAATAAAAAAGTTATCATCTAAATCGGCTCACGTAGAAAAAGTTCTGAGGTTACACACATAAAAAATACAGTCGAATTGAAAACCTCTCCCTTTTTTGAAGTCGGTGGAATAGGTTTTTTTTTTGGAATATGAAAGTGGCTACCGCGCTATCTCTGCGCAGATTTGCGGACTAAACATGTCCTCGGATTGGTATTAATTTAAAGAGAATTGTTTAAAAGAAGGTTAAATATCAAAGAAGAATTTTGTTACACTCAATATTATGTGTTACCAAATGGTAGCAAGAATGAAAAGGTACAGCCGTATACAATATCAGAGACAGTATTTTAAAAGTAAACTAAAGCCGTCTGAAGTTATTCGAATGTCTATAGTCTATACAGATAATTAGATTGAAGTAAAATAAAGTAAAGTAAAGTTAGTAAAGTCTATAACATCGATTTAAAAAAAGAATATTAACAATGAAATGAAAGTTTATTGTTCCAACATTTTCTTAAAATTAGTACGAGTTTTAGGACTTCTTTTAAGTATAAAGATACTTGTGGTAGAAGACAGTAAAATAGTTTCACAATGCTATAAACATTACTAATATTTCCCTTAACCACTCGTGGTAAGCATAAATTGCTTGTGTTATGAGTGGTTCGCGTCAGTAGTGGAATGGCGGATTCGAACCCACGACCTTTTTGAGTTCGCGGTCGGCACTCTGCCATTAGGCATACATTAATATGATTAATATAATGGGCCATTAAGACATAAATCATAATTTTATAATTTTAACAATAACCATCTTTCATCATTTTCATAAGTCTGTCTGTCGGAGCTGATCGTTGAAACGTCGTAACCGTTTGTAACGAAATTTCATGGACAGATAGAAAGCAATACCAGGAGTGATTAAGGCTCTATTTTATCCGAAAACCTTGCAGTTTTAAAAAATGAACGAAAAATTGATAAAATAAGTTGTCTTTAACGCTAATTTAATAGATCCTTTCCAGGATAAGCTAGGGCGTATATTTTATAATAATAATTATTGGAGCGTCTGTTAGTGTGTAATGTAGGAAAGGTGTCACTGAGAGAGAGATAAAAAAGAGAGAGAGAGTGATTTGTTACTTATTCTAGATCTTTAATTATACTACTACTTTATATTATTATGAACTCAACCCAAATATTTTTTATATCATTAGGTGATAAACGAGCACACAGTCCACCTGATGGTAAGTGGATGCTGTGGCCCATGGACATCCACATTTATCCTTAATTAACATCCGAACTATAATTGCGCGATTTAGGCTTCGGTTTTTCGCTTGTGGCGTGACTACAACGCCACATAGGCAAGGCCTACGTGTTCAGCAATGGACTTGTGAAGGCTTGTAATGATGATGATGATGATAATACTTTAAATTTTATATTTGTCGTTGGACATGGCCTTTGGAAACGCCCTGTATCGGGTAGTCTACTGTTATCTATTAGCCTTTCGTATTATCATTATGTGACTAGAGAAATTGTTATAATTGCCTGGTTCCGAACCCAAAGTGTAACTAACGGGACCCTATTACTAATTCTCCTTGACAACCAAAACTAATTATCATTTTAAATTTTAATTATGTTTGGTTACTTATTATAACATCAGCTATTTGCCAGTGAAATTCCCGTCAAAATCTGTCCGGACATTTCGGAGATTTGGCGAACAAACAAACAGGGAGACAAAGATTCTAAAAATTGTTTTTGTTATATGTACCGTATTATACTTTATGTGCATTTAGTAAAATGCTGTTATTTTGATATCACAGACATACACTTGAATTTTATTTATTTGAATAAACAACAAGATGAATTTGTAAGCCGGGATAAACTAAGCTAGGTACTAAATTTTACTTTCGACCTGTTGGTGTGTTGTGCTGTGCAGCCCATACACACTTGTAACTTACTTCAATGCCTACCTGAATATACGAGGCGACATGACAAAACGAACTTTCAAACTATAAAACGTTTGTGATTAACAAAAACGGTAAACTCGGACGAACGGTTATTAATTGCAGGCATCGCGGAGACCATACAGATCGCCAAAACAAAGTTTGTGCGTGTTATGTACACGTTTGACCTTATTAACGGTTGAATAGTCTCGTAAACAAGTGTAACACTAAACTAATTTTTTTTTATTTATTAATTTATTTCAGATAACATAAGATCCATATCATTAAAATTGATTGATTTAAAAACATTAATTAATTGATAATAAACAATAATAATATGTCATGAAAATACAATAACTAACATAGGTACATAACATAACATATAAACACAATAATAACTAACACATAATTATTATTTAGTATCTTCTCACTCCCACAATTACTGGGACATGTTTGTTACAGCAATGCCGGAGGATAGGACAGTCCAATCTGTCTCCTATCATTTTCAGAATAATATTGGAGCTGGCCCGCACTCTGCGCACCAGTGACGCGCACCGCTTACGCATGGTCGTGTGAAAACAGGCAGTGCGCGCCTCCGCAAACATGCCAGAGGCACTGCAGAAGCGGGGCAGCCCCAAAACCACCCTAAAACTATAAATCGAATCTCTAGATTTGAATTTTTTTATATAATAAGTAAGTGACAAGCGAACATACAGTCCACCTGATGATAAGTGAATGCTGTGTTTTTTATAGGATAAGGGTGACAAACGAATACACAGTCTACCTGATGATAAGTGTTTGCTGTAGCCCATAGACATCCACATCTATCCTTGCTTTAAAATCAAAATGCAGATGCGTTGTCACCCGTGATGCTTAAGACGGAATGTCTAGTAAGAAGGGTCTCCGGTTGTCTACACTTACCATACGAAACACAGCAGCTTTAAGGTACCATTTTAAGCTGGTATTCTGTGATAACGTCGTCCCTCTCCGAACGAGCCGACCCATTCGTACTACAACTATACTACTAATATAACTGCAGCATGGCTCTACCATGTATAAATCCGTCAATCTGTCTGCCAAGTGTAGATAGAAACGTCCACGTCCAGTAGACTTTCATGTTCATCTTTCATAACAGACTGACGAAAATCCAGTGGTGAGCATAGACCTCTCCCATTTATTGCCTCTTAGGGATACTTTGCCATAGTTGCCACGGTTGGCAAGTGGTTTGAGACGGTGTTTTGTGGGGTTCCGTACGCGAAGGGTAACAAACGGGACCCTGTTACTAAGCCTCCGCTGTCCGGCCATCTATATGTCAGCGGGTTATATCTCATGATCCGTATTAGGTAGACAGTTTGAAATTTTCACAGAATGTTTACTTTTATATCCGCTATAAGAACAAATAATAAAAATTAAATAAATTAAAAATTAAAGGGGGCTCCCCTACGAGAAACGTTTTTTTATCGGTTTTTTCTTTGCTCGGTCTAAAAAATGGCAACTAGTAGAAGCTTCAAAGCTCGCAGAGTTTTTATTGTTATATTTTTCCTGCATAGTACCCACCTACATAGT